AATCAGGCGTACACAAGACGGTGTCTAGACTATAGTCCACTCCACACTGGCTGCATGAAACTAATGTTCGAGGCTAGCATGTCCACAAACAACGTGTACCCGTCCTCTCCAGCAGCCATTAAATGTCCCACGGAACCAGTATGCACGAGGCAGTGGGAGATAGACAAGTAAGCATCTTTTCAACATGCACATCAAGCGCAGGCACATTGGGGCTATCAAGCAACAGCCAATCACTTGAAACGACAAAATGAATGAAATAATTCGGATAAGGCGTACAGATATGTTGACATAACTCTTCACTAAATGCGCGAATGGAATAAATTGGTTGCAAATATCCGCGATAAATTCAATACGTCAGAAAATATATTTTAAGGAAATGCTACAAACACCAAAATGTTATCGAAGTTAACTACAATCAACTTCAGCGGCGTGTGCAAGTTTATAGAAGCTGGTTCAGATAGATATTAATACGAGAAAGAAAAGCATTAGGACAAAATTTTAAACCCACCACCTGAAATAGAGAGACTCAGTATGCAACAACGCAGTTGGTAAATCGAATGAAGCGTACCTACAAACGCTGCGCCAGTTCTTCTTACCTTCTCTGCAGGACCTGTCGTCGCTTTGGTAGTGGCCTCGAGTGGCCTATCTCATGGTTTATTAGCCCTGCCAGGCTCAGGCACTCGCGACCGCATGTGCTACAGCACCAGGCGCTCGATGTCGATGGAGTACAACCCATCGGTGCTTGCCGCTTTCTCAATTCCCACTTCTTCTCTGAATTCATGAGGGCTTTCTCCCACACCTCGTCAACTGCCTTCGTGCTCAGGTTGCGCTATGCACGCCGAGCAACCGCCTTTGATTCCCATGACCTACAATCAAGAGTAGAACGTGAGAGGCTCACTCTGATCACGTCCTGGTAACGCAACTTCGGTTTCTCCACATGCCGCTTCCCAATATTCAGCTGACTATGTAATACTTGTTTCCGTATCCGCGTCGAATCCATACGGCACACATGACCGAGCCGCCTCAGGTGTTTCTGCAAATGTATGCAGTCCATTGCATACATTCCACTTCGACGTCAAACTTCCGTGTCCGCAACTCTGTCGCCCAAACCGATGCTCAGAATCCGTCGAAAACACGGTTGATGGAACCACTCGAATTATCTCACCTCCCGCCGGTACATCGTCCACGTTTCACTGCTGTTTAAAAGAAAGAACAGCACCATGGATGTGTACACCATCAGCTTTGTGCCAACGGTAAGTTTATGGTTGTTGGTACTCTAGCTTCCCGAAAGCCGCCGCTGCCTTCGACACACGGATAAGAAACTCACTGTGAAGCCGCTTGTCAGTTGATATCACACTCCCTGGTAGCATAAGCGGCAGGTGGTTTCTAATACTGCAGAACCAATGCTGATTCTCGACAATATTGAAGCTTGCACCTCCGGTGAAGGCTGAAAGAGAGAGATAGTTTTGCATGTGTTGATGGTGAGCCCGAATTTGGCCGCTGTCGAAGCCAGAGCACTAGTCATATGCTGCAACTCATCCGCGCTGTGCGTAAACAACGCACAGTCATCAGCAAGCAGCGACATACGGATAGACATTTCACAGACTAGAGTGCTCGCACCGAAACGACGGATGTACAGCAACCCGCCATTAATACGGTACTCCAAACGAACATCGTAAGCATATGCCGCATCAAAAGCACAAGACATCCTTGCATGAAGATAAGTAGTAAACTGAGCAGGAGCTAAGACACAGCCTTGCTTCACACCATTGGCAACTGCAAAGTCATCCAATCTCTGTCCACACAGCTGCACCCTCACCGGCATGCCACTGTGCAAGTATTTAACTAAACTTACAAACTTACTCTAGCAAACAAACTTACACAACATCAGTCACAATGCTTCGTGGTTCACCTTGGATAACATATCCCATAACATGCATACAATCAAAGCCAGCGTTGAACTATTTCATTTCCTTACTCCTCTCATTCTGGAATATCGCAGCATAAGCTGTGGGAATATGAGCAAATTAGACGGAACATCGATAGGAGGTCTTCAACGGTCATTTACTTTTAACCTGTTGGGAAACAGTTCCATCTTGAACTATCAGGAGCGATGCCAGTAACTCCATCTTGATGCGCTTTAACTGCCAAGGCTAAAACATAACTTGGGACTGCGGTACAAGCTTATTCATGGCGATACCTATAGCAATCGATCCACATTGACATTGTAACATGGTTCCACGCGAGACCTTCGTTGCAAGTTCCTTACCTTGTTTGTTACGCGATGTAGGGCAAATTAGCGGCGTAGCTTCCTTCTCACCAAATATGCCTATCGGTGGATTGCGCAGCCAATCACAATCAGTTTGTGTGCAATCCTTTCGCAGGAATTTGGGAAGGTACCTCGACATGAACACCATTGCGTCGCTTTTCGCGGGTATGATAACTTGACCCATTCAAGGAAAACCCAAATAACGTCTAATGGGTGTAATACTGCCATTTTACTCAACCTACTTATCCCTCTGTGTCTCCACATACTCAAACTACAAATTGGCCTCCTAACATCGCATTAAGCATGAACATATGGGGCAACTATCTTGGCAGAAATACAGACAAATATTGCACTTGCGACAGCATGATATCACCTGTGCTTTTATATTCTATGTCAAATATGCTCGCAGTTTTTCACTTGATGAGAAATATGCACCTTATTATTATTATTTTTATAATTACCATCATTCTGCGGTATACTGTTGCGACCATAGACAAAACTATCCTAAAGCCTTAATACGCCACTGCTGCTGTGCCCCTTGGACCGATCACATATGGTGTTCCCGGTGTGTTACGGTATGTCCGGATAGGCGGTGGAAATTTGGCACAGGAACACCGGTTATGGGCCTGGTCGGAATGCGAACCAATAGTAACTTTTGCCTCCAAAACATCTGTTAAATGGGTGCAAAGGGGGAACGCTCTAACACCTCATTCTAGAGTAACCAGCTTCAGTCTGGCGCGCTGCTGATGACCTGTATCACCAACACTCTTATCCTTGTCTGCCTTTCGTTAAGACTAATGTGTGAACCTGCTCGGCAGCATCCCCGGAGTGCACTGGCTGGTCCCAATGTGCGCATATGTCGTGCCTTGTGTTTACATCCAGGGTGTTCCATAGGCTAGTGTCCCATGATCAGGGAGAGTGTCACGGGTGGTGCGTGTTAGTAAGCACGCAAGGAGAGACTGTGCAGATACGCGTGTTAACTTGAATGTACAATGGGTGGTTATGAACTTTTCGCAAACTAACTTATTAGCGCTGAGCGCTAAGTTGCCTTTAAAATGCTATATGATCGCCAGCTGATCTATCGACCTGTAGCGTTATTATCCATTAATTTGTGTTATTCCTGCTAATATTCACTACACTTTTCCACACAAAAATGCCATTTATGTAGAGTCAACTTGCCTGTAAAAGCTTCCGCGTTAAGGGCACAAATTTGTCACAATAACGAATCTGCGAAAAGCGATTTAGGTTCATAAGCTCTCGAAAGTATGAAAACCAGTCAGTTTCAAGCCTATACCAAAAATATTGCTTTAATATAAGGACCACGTGTTCAAAAGCCGGCTAGTGAATTCGTGCGTTTGACCGTCGCTAAAGTCAATTGCAAAAGTCACCGTAGCTTCAATAAGGGATGAATTAAATATGAGCTTATTCCTAAAAACTTTGTTGTCAGACCAGCGGATAGCTCTTATACATCCGCCAACTTGACCCTCAACGAGAGCAAATCATTCTTAAGACAATGGATTCCTATGACAAATTGACACTTGAATGATATTCGCCTTCCCACGAATCGGCCGTGCTGGGTGCTGCAGACCGTCATGACGCAGACTGACTACGATGGACTTTACAACAAGGCCCCAGAAGGAAAATCAATGCAAGGGATAACTGCGAAAGAAAGACAAACTCGTAAGTTCAATCATTTAATATCTGTGTGTTCTTGGACCACTACTTTCGGGTCGGTGTCATTAAATCAACTTTACCATATTTATCCAATTTTCACGAAATAAAATTACGCTTGTTGCGACCTATTGCAACTCAGTCTTAATACTATCCCCATAGGCCTCCAGCTCAAACTAGCAAGGCACTGCAGTTGATTTGGTTGCCAAAATACATTTTCTCTTTTTTAGGTCCCGAATCTAGAACGCTCCTCCATCTCACCTCACGTTTATCTCTGCATTAAAATTAACTGGTCAAACAATCGCTGTTAACCCTTTATGAAAGCTTTTTCAGTTTATTCTATTTTTGGTATATGCACTATTTTACACTATCATATATTCAATACAGTAACACATGATTGTACAAATACCCCTATTGTTTTCCCGCCTGTATTAATCGAGTTTAATTGAAACGATTTATTTGGATAGAAAAAGTGGATATATCCTTCACTCCTACGCAACAGCTCGAAGGCAACTTTATGGAACGTTGATGGCTCGATTCTCACGGCAACGTTCTCACGATTCTATAACGTGTGATAGTTACCCTAAAGGAGCTAAAATGAATTAACAAAATTAGTACGGTTGCCTAAATTTTGTGCACGTTATTCTGCGGCTCAGAGGAATATCTACTGGTCAAATCTGAGCAGCGAAACGGGAAAAACATGAAAGAGAAATCCGTTTAATTGCAGCCCATCCACAGTACCATAAAGTATGATTGACATTAGGACATTAAGGTTTATTTTGACGATGCAAATTGATAATCAAACAAACGTTTGGGTTTTTGCAAATTTGCTTCAATGGGGCACATTTGAAAAGATATTAGGGTACAATGTAAACTGGAACATTTTCACACACTATAACACTTCCGTTCGATGAGAATGTCCATTGTATCTGCTGTTTGCCCTGAAATGAAAAATTGTGTACATCGCGGGTATATTAGCAACAAAACTAAATTATATTTACAGTTGTTCATCCTTGCATATGTGCATTTTCAAGAGTGTGAGAAAAATAGTGTTTCTGCCTCATGTTCTGCAGTACATTTCAGACTCGTCAGTGCTGCTTAGTTCAAATGTTGCGGAAAATTGAGGCCGCCATGCGCATACCTATGAACAAATAGGAAGCCAATTGGATTCTAACCGCTTAGATAGACGTCAACAAAATCGCATACTGGTGCTCTTTAATACATTTGTGCTTGGACTTACCATCGGCCACTGTGAGCTAATTGGGATTTGATAACGAAACAAGTAATAATTTGCTTCTCGCCGCATTACGCATTCACTAGTATTGAGTCTGCGACAATCCTTCCGGGAATCAAAAATAAGGAACCGGTATGGTGGCACGGTTACAACCGCCGTGGCCACGGCAAAAGCGGAGGATAATACTCCACCTGTGCAAAGTAAAGTTGCAAATTACTCGGTTTGTCTTAATAGTTCGTACTGCGAGACAATGAGAGTTGAGAGATGACAAACTCACTGTACTCGAATTCGGCCACTAATGAAGCGTTGCTTCCCAACTGTAGCACGCCAATATCTCTTCCGGTGATGGTAATACCAACTGCACCAATCCCGTCGACAAACGTAGCTGATAAAAAAGGGCATAACTGCTCTAAGTTTGTGCGATGAATGCAGGTTATTCCGTAACTAACATTGATAAACGCAATGAGTATATTTGACTAGAATGCACATGTTGGACTTACGACAAAGTTCTTCTTCATCGGACAAGGTTCCAGAAGTCCCATGGGACAACAATATAAGTAGCTTGCTGATCATATATAATGGGCACATTTTGTTAAGCAGGAGTAATAGTTACTTTTTGTGGATGATAGTCTTACTGATCCGCAAGCACGAGCTGTGTGCCCACATATGTATATATATGTATATAAATATGCAAATATATGTATGCATTGAGCATGAAAACAACCACCATGGACGTGCTCATGATTTATTGGCGTACCGTATACTAAAACAGACACGGTTCATTAAGTAATCGTTAATAAGGGCGCAGCTTCGTGCCACTTCGTATACTGCCTAGGAGTACAAAGCAGTAAGGTACTAGGAAGGTACTGGGTATGTGTGTGATGATGAATGGCTAAATTCTGCGTTGAGCTTGTCCACATTTAGAGCACTGAGTGGGCTCACGCAAATGTTTGCTATTGTGTTGCTTCACGAGCCTCCATAGGTCACGGCAAAGGTGGTTTCCTATGATGACCCCAATTTCAATGTTCAAATATGTATCCGTTTTATAGTTGCAGACAACATTTGTCACGGCCTGTTAACTTGTATATGTAAGCCAGTTCCTTTCTCTATGCAGTTGGTTGAGTAGTAGCAATGAAACTATATCATTCACAATACAAGGGGTCTCAACGGAGCACTTTAGATGGAAATAAAATCGGATGAAAACTGTAAGCGCTGGCTACCGGCAGGAGAGTCGCACAAAATGTACGCTAACGAATAGTCGCGGCCAGAAGGTGCACCTTGTGGGCGCCATGACCAGCGATGCCTTGATATGTCTCACCGTTTCAAGTGGCAGGTACGACAAGTGAAGTTGCGCGCAGTGGGTGTGCGAATTTTTGGAGGGCCAAGGATCCGCTCTCATCGAACGCTGCATAATGATTTGTGACAACGCGCCGTGCCACACAGACTTGAAGAGCGTCTTCTAGGAGAAACGTTAACGTTCAGACAGGCTGATGCGACTGGCGCCTTACTCTCCGTCGCTTAACCTTATCGGAGGCGTCTGGATTGTAAGCAAGGCATATATGAAGGACGCCATGAGGAGCAGGTATGTAGAAATGCTGGGAGGGGATTCTGAAGGCTTTCTCAGCAACGGTGTTTGGCGTGCACCATTTCTGATGAAGGTGGTAACGGAAGCGCGCGGTTGTGTTACGCCGCATCTCTGCGAACAGGTGTTCCGACAAGGATCAGGGAATTAAGGACGCGTAATGCAGTTGCTTGATTTATAGATTGTCTGTAAACACGTTTGCATTTTCCTCGATCGCTAGGAGGGGTCTTAGTGCATTACATGCTCTGCATGACGTATACACAGCATTATTGGTCCTTAAGTAATCGCATCTAGTTTGTCGCAGTTTTCGTCGCTGCTCGGTATTTGAAAAGCAGGTGAACTGAGCTGTTGATTAAGGCATAGCGGAGCAGTAAAACGTCTTGTACTGGATACTTGTTAAGTCGGGCGAAGACGCGCAGGTGGCATTAAGTTGGTAAAGGTTGAGTAGGTAGTAGTTGTGCGGCAGCCCAGGGGCGACATGAGATGATTGGCGGAAACCTTTCTTAAGTTATCGTGATGGGACAGGCCGTTGACAGTCGCCCGCCGCATTCGACCAGCTGTGCATGGTTGCGGTGGAAAATGGGAAAACCGTGCTACATGGCATTCACTCTCGAGGATGATATGACTACAGAAGGACTATGAGTAACATCGAATGCGATAGCAACAAAAATAATTAACTATTGCGTATGAGACATCAATTAAGGATGCACGGGTGTATCCATTAAACATATCCCAAACAGTCACGGCTTTTTCAATTGTGACGGATGTATAATAGCGTAATAGATGCAACGCCGACATTCAGGAACACTCCCCTAATTAGTTTTATATGTATGTATTAATCCATTTAGGTAACTCCAGAATCTTCGATTGCTTGTGCGCACCTGAGATAATTGAAATTTCATCAGTAATGCGCATTTCCACTGGGCGTGCGTGCAATCCGCAATCTTTGTTGTGAAGTCGATACAGCGCGGTCAAAGCATGTATGCAATGAGGCGCATATGACGGGGCATATCCGATGCGGAAGTTTTTATCAATTATCCATACTGTAATCACTAAGGAATCAGCGGCTATTTCAGGCTTCCCTTTAATTAACGAATACGAATGACTAATGTCATCAGCAGAACTCATGCAACCCTCTCCGCTGCGATCGGGACGACTGCTTAACTAGGTTTTGTATTATACACCATGGTCTTGCGACTGATGCGTCTGGTCGTTGAGCAACGAGTTGGTGGTCATAATAATCTGAAGCTTCGAGAGATAATCACTTCAGTGAAGGAGCTGCATGTTATTGTTCGGGGTGTGGTAGGCAATCAGAAACATTGCAATACTTCGTGTGAATGAGATCAACCTGCGATTTGTTTACATATGGAGCCTTCAGAGCCGTTAGAGCTGCAGACTCAGGCTGCACTGATCTTTCAGCCGGCCGAAGGCTCAAGTTTGTAGTAAGCGTGATGAAGTCGGCGCATTGTGAACCGAGCGAAATTCCCTGGGTAGATAACAACAGCATTGGATCTGTAGGCATGGTTCTAGTTGGGAAGATTCCGAGCGTGACCGTGACGCAACAGCACTCTGGGGTCATTCGTCTCCACTGCTTTTGTGTGCATTTGATACGCAATATTCGGCACAGTGCCCGTAAATCCGCCGTTATTTATGTGCTGGTAATATCAGATCAGATTGAACAACTGGACTAAGCGAGTGAGATGGACGGTCAATGGGAAACGGACGGGACGAATTCGATTACTGGACCCGGATTGGCCAATATTCGGGTGAGTGATTCATCTTTTGTTTAACTGAAGCAAAGGAGGAACCTCATCGGCTCGGAAGGGTGATTAGGTATGGACTTGAAATGGCAACTTACATCGAGGAGTTTGGCTTGCTAGACATGCCGTAAATTTTGCTTAGCTATCTTTGCGGAATAAACGCTTGTCCCTGAAGGAGTGAGGTTTGCAACATGGTGCCAGAGAAGACAAAGACGAACCCCATCGGCGGGGCGCGGATGGTGTTCAGGTCACCAGCGTTTTTTCAGATGCCTACCCCACTGAACATGGATGAACGAAACTTGGCGAGTAACTGGCCTCTATGGAGGAGTAAGTGGGAGAATTTCTGCAACTTAGTACGTTTGGATGAACCACCGATTGCGTATCGCTTGGCCATGTTTCGACACAGCCGGGGATGACGCGCGCCGTTTGCTAGAGAAATTTCTCTACTACATATGTGAAGATCCCAATAATTTATAGACGGTCATTCAAAAGTTCAGCGAATTTTGTGTAGGTCAAACCAACGAGACCTACCGGTGCTATCATTTCTTTTCAAGTAACAGAGACCCAAACGAGTCATTCGACGCGTACGTCACTGAATTGAAAATTTTGTCCCTATCCTGTAATTTTTGTATATGCTTGGGCGACAGTCTTATAGGCGATCAGATCGTTCTAGGAATCAACGCTGAAACTACAACAAAGCAGCTTTTGCGACAACGCAACTTATCGTTCCAGCAACACATTTATCTCTGTAGCATTGGGTCCTCGGCCACCTATCAATACCAACAAATGAAGCTTGCAACAGATGCCGAATTTTGTGCCGTTTCAGGAGGAGAAGCAGCGAAGGCTACTAACGTGGGGCAGGAGATCTGCACACTTTGCCCCACGCAATATCCGAGTACCCGCGAAAAGTGGCCGGCTTGGGGGCCGAAAAGCGCCAGCTGTGAAATAGAGAACCACCTTGCTGATTGCTGCCAAGCAACCAACGTGAGTGCGGTCGTTCTTGACAAGTCTTTCGCAAATACAGAACATTCAACTGGCAACGTGTCTCGGAGGATACTCAAAAATGTGTCTACGCAAGTCTTTTCATCTAAGGCAGTTGTACGATTCCAGTTAGTCACAGGTGCTACTGTCACCATTCTACCAAGGAAGCACTGTCCCGAAGTGTGCAGTTGATGCGATCAAGATTGCCTGTATATGTGGAATGGTTCCAGACTTCATTCGGATGGCTCAGCCACAATCGAAGTGGTTAACACAGGAGTCGGAGCCTGACATCGACTGGAGTCTGTGATTGTGGAAGAGGAGCCCACGCCGCTTCTCGGCATTGATTTGGTCCATTCTCTCGGTTTTGTTATTTGTCATCATGATCGTTTTGTACATGTTTGTCTGGCAGAAACCGATATTAATGACCAGTATCTGTCTGTGTTTAGCTCAGGTTTGTGAAAGTTTACGCGAATCGCTCACTTGTCCTTAGATCTTTTGAAATGACCAACAGCGCTACCGGGTAGGAGAGTTCCATTTGCACTGCGCGACAGATTCTCCGCTGAATTGAGCACATTGGTGAGAGAGAGTGTGATTGCCAATGTCGACGAGCCAACCGACTGGGCTAGTCAGGCCGTAATCATTATGAAGGAAACGGGAGAACTGCGCGTGTGTATTGACCGAAAACCGTTGAATGAGGCCTTGCGTAGAGAGCATTACTTGCTAATTACCCTAGAAGACATTTTGCCGCGTTTGACCAAAGGTAAGTGATTCGAGAAGATGAACCTCGCTTCGTCATTCTGGCAAGTGGTTCTAGTTGATGAATCCAGTTTCCTTAATAACTTTGCAACACCGTTCGGGCGATGTCATTGGCTGCGTTCACCTTTTGGCTTGAAGGTGTCGAGTGAACTTTCTCAAATGCGATTGGAGTAATGGATAGACTATTTGGATGGTGTGACATGCGTGGCGGTTAATGTTTTGCTCTATGGCTCGAGAGAAGAAGAGCGTGACACTAATCCACACCGTTTCTTACAGTGTTTTGTGTAATATACATCAAGCTTACACGTGAAAAAATTGAACTTGGGGAAAACGAAGTGATTTTCCATGGGTATTTGCTAAGCACACAAGGGGTCAGGGTCGATCCAGGAAAAATTAACGCAATTCGAATAATGCTGCCTCCTAATGAGGTGAAGGGAATTCATCGCTTAAATCGTATAGCGAATTAGTTGCACCGTTTTATGCCATCAATCGCTGATATCATGACACCG